TTTGCTTCCCGGGCTGGAGTCCAGTGGGGTGACCTCAGCTCACTGCAACCTCTGCCTCCTGGGTTCAAGTGATTCTTCCGCCTCAGCCTACTGTGTAGCTGGGATTACAGGCACCCACCACCACACCCAGCTAATTTTTGTATTTTTAGTACAGATGGGGTTTCACCATGTTAGCCAGGCGGGTCTGGAACTCCTGACCACAGGTGCTCCGCCTGCCTCGGCCTCCCAAAGTGCTCGGATTACAGGTATGAGCCACCACACTAGGCCATTATTCTTTATGCCTTTTATATGTCTGAAATATTCACAACTTTAAAAAGTTGTAAAGACCTACTTTATAATAAGCATGTGGCACACTTCTGGAACTGTGGCCAAGGTTCAGGGCACAGTAGCAACTGTTGTCATTTCTACTCAGACCAACCTTTGTCACTTCCGCAGCTTTGGGATCCTCTCCACTCCATCCTTAAGACAGAAAAAGTCGTTTCCATTTTTATAACAGCTTAAATGAGCTTGTGACTAAAGTCATGAAAAGCACTCTAAATCTGGTTACCCGGATTGGACCAGCTGAGTTAAATTGGATTTTGAGAACAGTCACTTTTATTTGAAGGTGAGCAATCCAATCTGTGAATATGCCATGTGTTCAAACACTAACAATGGACAGATTTTTGAAAGTACTGATTTGAAAGCAAGACATGCCAATCTTCCTGGTTCAATTCCTTCATTTCTATCCAATGGATTGAAACAAGGAGCACTAATTTACCCTGCGTGGCCAATTTAGGCTGCCGGTTTCAAGTTTCTCAACTCCGCAAGCATATTGGAATGCCCAAAAGAGATTTGGAAATCATGATGCTCAGGCTACAATTAATCAAATCACAATGCCCTTGGATGGAACCCAGGTCTAAGCTCCCCAGGTAAGTCCAATGAACAGCTGTGTTAGTCCATTTTGCATGGCTATAAAGGAATTCCTGAGGCTGGGTAATTTATAAAGAAGAGAGGTTTATTTGGCTCACTGTACTGCAGGCTGTACAAACGTGGCACCAGCACCTGCTTGGCTTCTAGTGAGGCTTCAGGAAGCTTTCACTCATGCAGGAAGGCAAAAGGGGAACAGACATGTCACATGGTGAGAAACGGAACAAGAAGGATAACAGGAGATCCCAGATCCTTTTTCTGTTTGTTTGTTTTAATTTTTGTAGAGATTAGGTCTCATTATATTGCCCAGGCTGGTCTCAAACTCCTGGGCTCAAGATTTCATCCCACCTCAACATCTTAAAGTGCTGATATTACAGGTATGAGCCACCATGCCCAGCCCCCATATTCTTTTTTTTTTTTCCTGGCAACATCTCACTCAGTCATCGAAGCTAGAATGCAGTGGCCCAGTCTCGGCTCACTGCATCCTCCGCCTCCTGATTTCAGACGATTCTCCTGCCTCAGCCTCCCGAGTACTTGGCATTACAGGCATGCACCACCATGCCCAGCTAATTTTGGGTTTCTCCACGTTGGCCAGGCTGATCTCAAACTCCCAACCTCAGGTGATCTGCCCGCTTTAGCATCCCAAAGTGCTGGGATTACAGGCATTGGCCACCACGCTCGGCCCCCATATCCTTTTTAGCAACCAACTCTTGATGTACTAATAGGGCAAGAACTAACTCATTACCAAGGGTTGGGCACCAAGCCATTCACAAGGGATCTGCCCCCATGACCCAAACATCTCCCACTCGGCCCCGCCTCCAACCCTGGAGATCACATTTCCACATGAGATTTGGGGGGAACAAACATCCTATCTATGTCAGCAGCCAAAGTTGAGAACCACTGGCCCAGTTGGTCCCCCGGGAGAATGACAGTCCTGAAACACCAGACACCACCTGTGAATTCAGGTTATCTTTTCCCACCCTTCCATATGTGAAGCATTAATTTCTTCTTTTTACTTTAAGTTTTTACAATTCAAGTCAATCATGGATTCAACTGCAGTAGGAAGACTGCCTAGGCTTAGGCCTATGACAGAGTGCTAGCGGCAGATGCCAGTATTTGTTCTCCCCCAAGTCTTTATAGACAGAACTTCAACTTTGGCTAGATATGTGGCCACCCACTTAAAAATCAGTTTCCCAGGGATGGGGCTAGGGAGAAGAGAAAGCTCTTTACCAAAGAAGGCCAACTAACAGATGTACAAGGAATGAGAGAAATAGAAAATCATTTAACAGCTACCTTCCTAGTAAGTGATTCAGGTGAGATTTCTTAGTTGATACTAAGGCCATTGGCAGAAAGACTGCGGCAACACGGGACATTCACTCAGGCTCAAAGCATCGCCCCACAGAGAATGCATTCGTTCCAAGAGGAAAAGACACTTCCGCAGTGGAGAAACCCAGCAGACCCTGCCTTTGTGGGCTGTGAAGCGATCATATCTCAGCTCCAAACCGCGCCCTCTCTGCTCTGCTGTGACGCTGGGCTGGGTCCCTTCCAACATTTGCTTGCCAGGGGCTACCCTGTTTTGCTCTGTTGAGACAGTGAGGCTGGAGGGAGGAAAATGAACTTCCTCTTGCTCATCTCCTGCTCCCACAAAGGGTCACCTCACATTTCTTCACTCTGACAGCAGCAGCAGCAGTAGTTCCTTCCTTTTTTTTTTTTTTTTTTTTTTGTGATAGAGACTTGCTCTGTCACCCAGGTTGGCGTGTAGTTGCACCATCTCAGCTCACTGTAACCTCAGCCTCCTGAGTTCAAATGATTCTCCTGCCTCAGCCTCTTGAGTAGCTGGGATTACATGCGCCCACCACCACACCCAGCTAATTTTGTATTTTTAGTAAAGACAGGATTTCACCACGTTAGCCAGGCTGGTCTTGAACTCCTGACCTCAAGATATCTGCCTGCCTCGGCCTCCCAAAGTGCTGGGATTACAGGCATGAGTCAGCACGCCCAGCCAGCAGTTCCTTCAGACATAGCAGTTGGGTCCTGTGTGTGGTTATTCAGCTCTCACTGAACCAGCCCCTTCATGCACCTCTTCAAGTTGCCAGCTATCTGCCTCCTGTCAGCAGCTAGGGCCCAGGCCCATAGGACCCTTCCAAGCCAACACAACAGCTCTAGCCAGGGAGTGACCCTTCCTCAGAGGTCTGAGTTTTAGCGTCACATGGGTTCTCTCTAAGCCTCTAACACTTTTTGTTGTTGTTGTTTTTGAGACAGAGTCTCACTCTGTCACCCAGGCTGGAGTGCAATGTCATGATCTTGCTTCACTGAAACCTCCACCTCCCAGGTTCAAGTGATTCTCCTGCCTCAGCCTCTTGCGTAGCTGGAACTGCAGGTGCACGTCACCATGCCTGGCTAATATTTGTATTTTTAGTAGAGACGAGGTTCTACCATATTGGTCAGGCTGGTCTTGAACTCCTGACCTTGTGATACACCCACCTCAGCCTTTCAGAGTGCTGGGATTACAGGCATGAGCCACCGTGCCTGGCCACCTCTAACATTTTAATCATTCCAACTCTTCTCTGCTCTTTCAGCCTTGATGGTTGCTACCTCCATGACACTTCAATGTTTGTTTCTAGCCATTTCAGATACCTGGTTAACCCTTTACACCTAGCTAACAACTCTTATTAAATGCTCTGTTAAAATAACTCGGATTTCTGTCTTCTGACTGGATCCTGAGGCAGAAATTGGAACCAGGAGAGGATTTTATATCCCACCCTCTGGCGTGGAAATACAGCTTACTAAGGCATCCACATTCCTTGCTATTAGTAATGTGAACACCTTAATATCATCAACAATGAGACAACTGACATCTCTGGATCCTTGGGTCTGGAAGTGACAACCACATGTTAAAGATGGAAAAAGATAGAAAGAGTCTGTCTTTCCATCCTGATGACCGTGGAGCCACCATAATAGGCCTGGGCTTCTTTTATGTAGGAGAGAAATAAACTTTCTTCTTTGTTATTGAAGTTTTCTGTCACAGCTCAATCTAATTCTAATTAATATAGGGTATTTAAAGGCAAATTCACCAAAATTAAACTCATTTTAGACTTAAGAAATGAAGTTACAGTTAAGGAAAATTACTTGTCACACCACAGTCAGGAAAAGGTTACCTTAGAGCATCAACGTCAAGTAGAATATTACCATGTCAAGAAAAATTACATATATTTCTTTGGAGAATGAGATTGGTTAGTTAATAAACACTATTAAGTGCTTAAGAAGTCAGGCACTACAGACATTACACGCATTATTTTATTTAATCCTCATGAAAATCCTCTGACATAGGTGCCATTATCACCAATCCTTAGATAAGAGGACTGAAGGTTGGAAAGATTAAACAACATCCCATGTCATGCAACTTGTAAGTAGTAGAGATGGAACCAGAACTCAGGCAGGCCTGGCTCCAAAGCTTATGCTTCTAACCCCTATACTATATTGCACACAGGAGGTAATCAACTGACATTAAGATCTCTGCTACTAGTGGAAACTTAGAATTTAAAGCCGTGCCAGGTGCAGTGGCTCACACCTGTAATCCCAGCACTTTGGGAGACCAAAGTGGGCCTATCACTTGAGCTCAGGTGTTTGAGCTCAAATACAAAAAATTAGCCTAGTGTGGTGATGTGCACCTGTGGTCCCAGCTACTTGGGAGGCTGAGGTGGGAGGATCACTCAAGCCTGAGAGGCAGAGGCTGCAGTGAGCCAAGATTGCACCAATGCATTCCAGCCTGGGTGGCAGAGTGAGACCCCTATCTCAATTTTTTAAAAAACAAATTTAAACCCTTTCTCTATGTGAGAAAGTAATTCTACATGAAACAAGACAACCACTCTTAAAAAAAAGAGTCTAAACAGAAATTATTCTGACCAAATCTATACTCCCAAGCTGACAGTTTTACCAAAAAGCTGGCAAGGCCAACCACACGTTTAGGCTGATGAGAAGCTTGCCAGAAGCCAAGACCTTAACTGAAAGAAAATCAACCTCCGTCCCAAATCATAAGGTCCATCACAGGACTGCTCAACTAATGGACAGTATTATTATTCCGCCTGCAGTTAATGCACAAGCGGGACGCCAGTGCCTCTCCGACAACGGACCAAGGGTTGGAGCCCCAGACGCTGGGACAGCTGCAGGGACTGATGCCTCGAGGCTTCAAAACCAGCGCCCCCCGCCCTCCGTGCCAGCCCCAGCCGGGACCCCACAAGGCAAGGCCGAAGACGATTGTGTTTGAGGATGAGCTGCTCTCCCAGGCCCTCCTGGGCACCAAGAAGCCTATTGGAGCCATCCCTAAGGGGCATACGCCTAGACCCCACCCAGTGCCCGACTATGAGCTTTAAGTACCCACCGGTGAGCAGTGCGAGGGAACGGAGCCGATATGCCGCAGTGTTCCAGGACCAGTACGGAGAGTACTTGGCGCTCCAGCGGGAGGTGGGGTGCGCACAGGCAAAGCTCAGGCAGCTGGAGGCCCGGCTGAGCTCCCTGCCCCCACCCCAAAGCCAGAAGGAGGCCCAAGTTGCAGCCCGAGTTTGGAGGGAATTTGAGAAGAAGCAAACGGATTCTGGCTTCCTGGACAAGCAGGCTCGCTGCCACTACCTGAAGCATAAACTGAGGCATCTCAAGACCCAGATCCAGAAGTTCGATGACCGAGGAGACAGTGAGGGCTCTGTGTACTTCTGAATGCCCCTGCAGACAGGCAGAGGTACACGTGGGGATGCCGGTTCCTGGCTTTTCTTGGTATCTCTCAGTCTTTCCTCTTGCAGTTCCCCCTACCAGGGGTAGCTTTCTCCACAACTGCAAATGCCTCTTCATTTTGGACTCAGCTTTGACAGCCCCTCCTCCGGGCAGGCCTCCCAGGACTTCCTTCTCTAGGACATCTAGCTCTGACCCTACAGGGACTCCAGATCTCAACCTGTTCCTTGGAAGTAGGTCCTGCTCTTCATTTCAGTGAAATAAACATGTATTACACACACACACACACACACACACACACACGCCGGGCACGGTGGCTCACTCCTGTAATCCCAGCACTTTGGGAGGCCGAGGCGGGTGAATCACGAGGTCAAGAAACCGAGACCATCCTGGTCAACGTTGTGAAACCCCATCTCTACTAAAAATACAAAAAAAAAAAAAAAATTAGCTGGGCATAGTGGCGCGTGCCTGTAATCCCAGCTACTCAGGAGGCTGAGGCAGAAGAATTGCTGAACCCAGGAGGCAGAGGTTGCGGTGAGCCGAGATCACGCCATTGCACTCCAGCCTGGGTAACAAGAGCGAAAACTCCATCTCAAAAAAAAAAAAAAAAAAAGTACGCTTATTATTCCCAGAACCTGGCCCCCCAAAATTTTTTAATTGAAATTTAATTCAATAAAGACTCCTAGAAAAAGACATCAATAGGCACTTGTTCTTCTGGGTTTATGTGAGCTCTCTAATGGTCCTTGTAGACAGCACAGCTCTCCCTGGGATTTCCAAAGGTCTATTATCCTCAGAGCTAAACTAAAAAGTACTAGTCCACATTAGGAATCAAACTGGCAACCGGGATGCCAACTACTATTTTGCAAAGGAGGACACAGTTAGTTGAAAATTATATTTTTCCAATTAGCACAGCAGGAAACACTGCTGAGGCATTCATCCCAAGCCTGCAATTAGAGAACATTTGCTTGCTTCTAGAAATAGAATGAATGGGAAGGAGAGACCTGCTATCTAGGTCTTCGGCAACAATATCCTGGGAGGGCAGATCTTGCTACCATTTCAGCAGTTCCCAGAAAATAAGCATCTTGCTCCTTTTAACAAGTGCAGTATCATTCTCCAGTACACCATAGTGTGTTAGAATGAAACTAAGAACTCCAGCAACAAAAGGGATTTACACAAAAGCCTGATCATTAGAAAGGTAAGTACAACTGTCAGTGAGCAGCTCTAATGTTTTATTTTAATAGTTGTTTTTAAAATCTATTAATAATGTCTCAAAATTCTCCACCTGTCAAGAAAGTAAGTTTTGTCTGAGCACCTCCACAATCTCCAGCTAGCTGACCCTCCTGTGCTCTTCAAATACAGTACTTCATTGTATCTCAGGCAAAACAATGGAAGCTAGAAGAATTTAGATCTCTCTCAAGGAGAGGTAAACATAAAGGCAGAGAACAGTGTTAAAAAGAGAAACAACTTTCACACTATGGGGTATCAGTTCAGTAACCTCAATAAAATTTGGAACACAAAATAAGATTCTGGTGTGAGCCAAGAGAAAACCACTGGCTACTAAGATATTTGCTTTATATACCTAGCACAAACATTACAATGGAGAAAGTGTTTCCATAGACTAGGCGTCCCCACACCATTAGATTTTACAGAGAACACTACAACCAGCTTTAATGAGTGAGCCTTCACTTTGTACCTTTGGTCTTTAAGCCGCTTTATATTACATGAAGGTGAAAGAGGTATACAGTGAGAACAAATCCTTTTATTTCCCCCAATCAGGAAATTATTTGTTGAAAGCACTAGCTTGGCCCAAAGTTTAGCTCCAGCTTGTAACACTTATGGTAACTTGCAGGTAAACACATGCACAAGTGTGTAACATCTATTTAGGTTTGTGCAAAAATTATTGTGGTTTTGACCATTACCTTCAATGGCAAGAATCACAATTACTTTTGCACCAACCTAAATATCTAGTTCTCAGCTACTACGGGAGATTAACCAGATGACTCAAAATTGTTATTTATTCTGTGAAAGAAACTGTTTAATTTCTAAACAATATAGGGGCTTTACTAAGAAATAAACAGCTTCATCTCTCAGAAAGAAAGATCATGCAAGTATTTATGTGTGCATATGTACACATATGCATAAACAAAATGCTTATGAAGGTTTGAAAACTATTGACAGTGGTTTCCTTTGAATAATGAGACTGGGAAACAGGAAAGCAAGCAAGATTCTTTCATTCTCTACTTTCTTTTTTATTTTTGTTTTTGGTTTTTGAGACTGAGTCTCACTTTGTTGCCCAGGCTGTTGTGTAGTGGCGTGCTCTCAGCTCACAGCAACCTCTGCCTCCTGAGTTCAAGCGATTCTCCTATCTCAGACTCCCAAGTGCAGGGATTACCAGCGTGCACCACCACACCCAGCTAATTTTTGTATTTTTAGTAGAGACAGAGTTTCGCCGTGTTGGCCAGGCTGGTCTCAAACTCTTGACCTCAAGCGATCTGCCCTCCTCGGCCTCCCAAAGTGTTGGGATTACAGGCGTTAGCCACTGTACCAGCCCATTCTCTACTTTCTATACCTAATTTCAATGTAAAAATTCCAATAAATATTTCACTTTTTAAAAATACTACTAAAGCTGGGCACAGTGGCTCACACCTGTAATCCCAGCACTTTGTGGGGCTGAGGTGGGTGATCAGCTGAGATCAGGCATCCAGGACCAGCCTAGCCAACATGGTGAAACCCCATGTCTACTAAAAATGCAAAAAAAAAAAGCCAAGTGTGGTAGCACACGACTGTAATCCCAGCTACTCAGGAGGCTGAAGCAAGAGAATCACTGGAACCTGCAAGGCAGAGGTTGCAGTGAACCGAGATTGCACCACTACACTCCAGCCTGGGTAACAGAGCATGACTCCGTCTCTAAATAAATAAATACACACATACATACATACATACATACATACTACTAAAGTTCCAACTAGTCAAGAATTTCCAGGTAAAGACATATTGAAACATTTACCTTCACTCCCTTAGGGCAGTAAGGGAATTTAGTAGAGGCATAGTGAGCAAGGGAGGAAACAAAACCTCAAAATTGTGGAAGCTCAGATAGCAGATGGAAAGACTTGGCCAACCCCAGAAAGCTGAAGCTAAGCTAGCCACTAAAAGGCTCATAAGTTGGAGCCTCAAGTAACTTGGAAGAGAAACAAAGGATAGGTTACAACCAGTAAGACTGAAAGTCTAAGAAGCAGTTTGACCGGTTGGAGTATCAGATGATATTAAAGAATTAGTAGGGCCGGTGCGGTGGCTCACACCTGTAATCCTAACACTTTGGGAGACCAAGGTGGGCAGATCACGTGAGGTCAGGAGTTCAAGACCAGACTGGCCGACATGGAGAAAATCTGTCTCTAGTTAAAATACAAACATTAGCCAGGCATGTTGGTGCACACCTGTTATTCCAGCTACTCAGGAGACTAAGGCAAAAGAATCACTTGAACCCGGGAGGCAGAGGTTGCTGTGAGCCAAGATCACACTGCTGCACTCTAGCCTGGGTAACAGAGTGAGACTCCGTCTCAAAAATAAATAATAATAATAATAAAGCAACAGCAGTCAAGCCTTAGGATCCTTTTCTCCATGTTGGAATGTTGGGCATCTGTCTTCTATGTGGCATTAGGCCAGAAGTTTACTTTATAAAGGGTAGAGTAAAAGGTCCCTGGATTGGGAAATAGTGGACTGAGTTGAGGGCAGTAATATACAGGCAGTCCTCACTTTGCATGCAGATGTGAGTCCACAAAAGTGACCATACAAGCTCAAGCCTTGCAAAGACATCTAATCAGCAGCAGACCTATGAATCTTAAAAATCTTTGTCCAAACATTTAAAAGTGTGTTATGAGGCCGGGCGTGGTGGCTCATGCCTGTAATCACAGCACTTTGGGAAGCTGAGACAGGTGGGTCACCTGAGGTCAGGAGTTCGAGACCAGACTGACTAACATGGAGAAACCCCCGTCTCTATTAAAATTACAAAATTAGCCAGGCATAGTGGTGAATGCCTGTAATCCCAGCTACTTGGGAGGCTGAGGCAGGAGAATCACTTGAACTTGGGAAGCAGAGGTTGCAGTGACCTGAGATCACACCATTGCACTCCAGCCTGGGCACCAAGAGTGAAACTCCGTCTCAAAAAAGAAACGAACTGTGTTGCAAATGTACAGGGAAATTTAAAAATAGCAAAACCATTATTTATTTAGTACCTGTAATTTTAAACATTCGAAATATTGGGACTAAGCATTTTTGGATCAGCATCCAGTATTTTGCCCTTTAGGCTCTCCGTGTTTTAAATTAACTCCAAGATGTCTGTTAATGTGAAGTTTTTGCCAGCATTACCTCCTCTGGGACACGTGTTCTCTTTGCCACAATAACTTTCCTCATTTTTCTTGGTAAATTTACCTTCACTAAGTTCCTCTGGCTGCCTGTGTAGAATCTCTCAAACAGCAGCCTGATCAACCTTTCCATGGTCAAATATAACTCAATTTATGTGTAATTTGAATTCTGCAAAGTGACTTGCAGCATAGTAAGCTTCTACCACATTGAATATTACTATTAATTTCTGCCACGATGCTTTCAATTTCTTCCAAACTTCAGCTAAAGAAATTGCAAGATCTGGCTGGGTGCAGTAGCCCACACCTGTAATCCTGGCATTTTGGGATGCTGAGGCAGGCATATCACTTGAGGCCAGGAGTTCGAGACCAGCCTGGCCAACATGGTGAAACCTCATCTCCACTAAAAATAAAAAAAATTAGCCAGGTGTGGTGTCACATGACTGTAGTTCCAGCTACTCAGGAGGCTGGAGCACAAGAATTGCTTGAACCCAGGAGCCAGAGGTTAAAATGAGCCAAGATAGCACCAAGGCACTCCAGCCTGGGCAATAGAGAGAGACTCCATCTCAACAGCAACAAAAAAAATTGCAAGATTTCTGGATGTAACATCAATGGCCTATCCAAAATTCGTAGACTATAATGAGCTTTAAAATTCAAAATAATGGCTAGGTGCTATGGCTAACGCCTATAATCCCAGCACTTTGGGAGGTCAAGGCAGGTGGATCACTTGAGATCAGGAGTTCAAGACCAGCCTGGCCAAGGCGGGTGGATCCCTTGAGGTCAGGCATTCAAGACCAGTCTGGCCAAGATGGTGAAACCCCATCTCTACTAAAAATATAAAAAGTAGCTGGGTGTGGCCAGGCACAGTGGCTCACGCCTGTAATCTCAGCACTTTGGAAGGCCAAGGCGGGCGGATCACAAAGTCAGGAGTTCAAGATCAGCCTGGCCAACATGGTGAAACCCCATATCTACTAAAAATACACAAATTATCTGGGCACCATGATGTGCACCTGTAGTCCCAACTACCCAGGAGGCTGAGGCAGGAGAATCACTGGAACCTGGGAGCTGGAGGTTGCAATGAGCCAAGATTGTGCCATTGCACTCCAGCCTGGGTGACAGAGTGACACTCCGTCTCAAAAAAAAAAAAAAAAGCTGGATGTGGTGGCACTCACAGCCGTGGTGGTAGTCCCAGCTACTCGGGAGGCTGAGGCAGAAGAGTTGTTTGAACTGGGAGGGGGAGGTTGCAGTGAGCTGAGATCGCACCACCATACTTCAGCTTGGGCAACAGAGCAAGATTCTGTCTCAAAAAAACACAAATCAAAATTATCTCTCTGTGCATTGGTTGGATTAATGAAAGTTGTGTTTGATGGTAAAAAGCAAACTTTCATTTTTATTCAAGCCCCCAGAAGAACTGGAGCATAATCCCACAGTAGCACTGAAAGTTAGTCTACAGTAATAACTCTCCCACTAGAAGAAGACAACACAACCAAAAGTTTTCTCATCTGGAGTGAACTGAGTAATAGATGCACAGTAGCCAATCACCAACAGACTTTGAAGGAAGTGATGACAGATCACGCCTCATGATGTGCCCATTATTTTCTAAAGGTGATCTGTGGACTGAAGAGCTAACACTGGAGACTTTGCTTTATAGTAACTCAGTTAGTAGACCACAGTAACTGAAATGTGAACCGTGTTATCAGAGGACTGGTATTATTTACCTTAACTGTGGTAACTAAACCCATCCTATTGGAGCCACCCAAAGGAAGGGCTGTCTAGGCTGAAAACAGCGAGGTTAAAATATGTGGTAACCACTTTCCTCACTGAGCCCTAGAACTTTCATTAGTCAGGCTTTTAGCCTTCTGAGGCTTTTCTGGGGTTCCTCCAAGGAAAGAGCCCAATCAGATCACCCTATGTCAGGGTTTCTCAGCCTCAGCACCACTGACATTTCAGCCCAGGGATTTTCTGTTGTGGAGTTGCCCTGTGTACTGCAGGATGCTTATAGCAGCATCTCTGGTCAGTACCAGCTCCCAATTTTGACAACGAAAATGTCTCCAAATATTGCCACAGATGGGATAAGGCAGAATCAGAAATGGGGACTGGGGACAGCAAGTCACCCCTGGTGGAGAACTTGTACCCAAGACAAAGGACCAGTAGTCCCATAAATGTCACCCACACTCAGCCAAAATATGCGAGAGGGAAATAGTAACACAAGCGTATTATTTAGATACACAGAGGCTAATAACAAAAGAATTGAAAATAGTTGCCTCAGGAAAGGGAAATGTTGGCAGACCTGTTTCTCTTACAAGCCTTGTTGGACCAGCTGGCTCTTCAGTTTGCACATACAACCTTGATTTTTTTAAAAAAACTAAACTTTTGGTTAAGAAAAGGCAATGTTGGCTGTATGAGGTGGCTCACACCTTTAATCCCAGAACTTTGCGAGGCCAAGGCAGGTGGATCATCTGAGGTCAGGAATTTGAGAACCTGGCCAATGTGATGAAACCCCATCTCTACTAAAATTAGCCAGCCATGTTGGTGCACACCTGTAATCGCAGCTACTCAGGAGGTTGGGGCAGGAGAATCGCTTGAACCAGAGAGGTGGAGACTGCAGTGAGCCAACATTGAGCCACTGCACTCCAGCCTGGGTGACAAGAGGGAAACTCTGTCTGAAAAAAAGAAAAGGCAGTGTCTATGTCAAAGGAAAAAAAAAAAAAAAAGAGCCAGCGTACTCACCAGCATGTGTCCCTGCCCCATGGCAGACAACTGAAGTAGAAATATAAACTCTCCTCTGGTCCCTTCCTAGCTCTAGGGGCTCCTCTTCCCCAGGTCTACCTGCTCTTCCTACAGAAACACATCCTTAGTATAAGTCAGGGGTGTCCAATCTTTTTACTTCCCTAGGCCACACGAGAATTGTCTTCAGCTGGACAAACTTGGTCTAAGTATTTTTTCAGCTGTTTTCTCCTGAGCCAAGAGTAAATGCCAGGGAGGGTCCTCTTCTCCATGTCATCACTGGGCTCTGAAAGGTTCTGGGCTTATGTGAAGTCCTCCAACACAAAGGGAAGGCAGTGCCTGAACTCTGAGATCTTCTCCCAGGCCCTCAGTTCAAGGCTTAATGTTCAGTTGCCCTTTACAACAGCCCCCTCCCCTCCCTTCCCTCAAGTAACAAGTCACAGAGCTAGTCTCAGCCAGCCCCAAAGGCTACAGCTAACGTCCATCCTCTGCTAACTTAAGATATTGGGCAAATATAGAAGTTGTCCATGCCAGTTTCATCATGTACAAAATCAGCATAAGATCTACCACAAAAGGCCATGAGGATTAAGGGTATGTAAAAAACTTAGTATAAGGCCTGATACTAAATGGTGAACATTCATGAAGTCCACTGCAAGATCATTAACCTGACAACAGGGTAAAACGGCATGTACCCAGCCAGTGGCCTAACATCTCAGGCACAGGTCAGACTAGGCACTGCTTACCCTGTGTTACAGTCTTAGTGTTGGTTTCTAGTAAAAGACTCTGAATCAACTCAAAATTTAAAGGTATTATCTCACACTCTCAGGACAGGAACTATCAATTCAGTTTACCAAGAAATGTACTTTTCATTAACTTCTGATCAAGGGTAAAAAGATAATGAACGGGTCATGACTGAAGAATCCAATACTGAGAACTTTTAAACAAAATTTAGATGCACACTGCGCCCACTCATTTTTGCTTTCCTTGTACTGATGACACTTGAACACTAGCCTGAACTGCAGAATCCACTTATATGCACTTTCTTTCACCTCTGCCATCCTTGAGACAGCAAGACCAACTCCTTCCTCTTCTCCTCAGTCAATTCAAGATGACAAGGATGAAGACCTTTATGATCCATTTCCACTTCCACTTAATAGTAAATATATCTTGATTTTCTTAATATTTCCTTTTCTCTAGCTTACACTGTAATACAGCATATAATACATACATATAACATGTAAAAATGTGTTAACAACTGTTTACATTATTGCTAAGGCTTCCGGTCAACAGTAGGCTATCAGTAGTCAAGTTTTTAGAGTTAAGTTATATATGGCTTTTGGACTGCATGGGGGGCTGCTGCCCAACCTTCACACTGTTCGAGTTAACAGTAATGTGAAAGCTAAAAACAATCTACATAAAATAGTAAAATAAAAGTTGTCCATTCAAGTCAATCTTTTTGGCTGTTAAAAACCATGAGTAGGCTGGGCGCAGTGGCTCATGCCTAATTCCAGCACTTTGGGAGGCCAAGGTGGGTGGATCACTTGAGGTCAGGAGTTTGAGACCAGCCTGGCCAACATGGCAAAACCCTGTCTCGACTAAAAAATTAGCAGATGTGGTGGTGGGACCGTTATCCCAGCTTTTTGGGAGGCTGAAATAACAGGTGCCCTGAGACAGGAGAATCGCTTGAACCTGGGAGGCAAGAGGCTGCAGTGAACTGTGATTATGCAGCCACACTCCAGCCTGGGTGACAGAGCAAGACTCCATCTCAAAAAAGAAAAGTATCAAAAGAAAAAAATTGAAAAAAAAACCCTATATGTGCTAACATAGAAGTGTATAGGCTGCGCTACTAAAAGGGAAAATGCCAAATTGCTGCAACAGTCCCTATGGAGTAATGTCATGCATATTCTGGGGACACAAGAAATGTTATCAGGGAGGCGTGAGGAGCTTTAAGGTGGACAGTAGCTCTCACTTGTTAAGATAGTCACATCTCCTAAGAATGACATGAGGCTAACTGATCAGGAGCCCAGATGATTCAAACGATTCAAATATGAATAAAAACCATGAGACAAATTTTCTAAAAACTGTAGGCTTTTTTTATTCAGTTAAGAGGTAGACAGATGAACATGGAAGGCTGTCCCATTTAAGTTGCCCAAAGTTCACATTCCACTTCATTCATCCATCCCACGCTGCCAGAAATCTTAAAAGAAATAATGAAGATTGCCAAAAGGCTTTTTTCCTTACTTCTTCTTAGTAATAATAGTCAACAAACTGCTTGCAAAGAAGTTACTACTAATTTAAATTTTCACTGTGTTCAAAGAATCTCATCCCTCTAAGAAGCTCCCACATATGCAAATAGATCCTGCCACTACTGACAGGAGGGCAGAGTACCACTGACTCTACTTATATAAGAGACTACAAGGGAAGCTTTAGTTATATTTTTTTTGTTGTTAAATCCCTGTGCATGTTAGGGCAGAAGCTGGTGAAACCAACAAAGCAGAGCATACTCTGTCAAATGGCTCTGCATGGTTGTTTTAAATAAAAAAAAAAAAAAAAAAAAAACACACAAGTCATCTTCAGAGGCAACATTAAAACAAAATGGAATTGAAGCCTGATACAAAAAGTAGAGAAATATGTACAGGAATTCACAGCCCAGAAGGAAAGGGGACCTCAGCAGGAGCCAGTGGAACCCTGGCTATTTTACATAGCTAATTTTGAGACAAGTCATATTTAGCACAAAAGCAATTATAGCACAAGTAACACTTCCCTCCTCTGGCTCCCAAATAGAAAGACTCTTGTCAGTCTTCAGTTAACACTGTAATCATTCTTCAGGGGAGCAGGAATACCTAAGGTGGTCCCAAACATTGACACAAATTTTAATCTCAAACAGCTTCACATTAGAGGATGGCATATCTGAAGACTGCCATGATGGCAGCACTGATAACTCCAGAAATGGGGACTGTGACAAACCAGGCCATAAAAATGTTACGAAAGAGACGCCAGTCAACAGCCTTCTTGGACCGGAGCCAGCCAACAGATACAACAGAGCCCACCTAAAAGAGAAACAGACCAAGGAAACACGTTATTAAAGTGCCAATGGTATTCTGGTATTTTGGCAAACAGACAGCTAAAACTGTTTGGACAAGGAGCTCCAGACCCCTGGACAAGAACAAATCCATGAAAGCTGGTTTACAACAGGTTAAAAAGATGGGAAAATGAAGGCAATTTGAAAATCCAACCATGATCTATACTAACGGTAGTAAAAGGACACAAGAACTATTTCTTTTCCCCTTCTAAGCCACTAGAATTTAATGAATAAACACTGCTTTTAATAACAAATTGAGTTGCAAGTCTTCCAAGGATTATTTGCAGAGTGGCTGATATTAAACCTAATAAACGATTGCCTAGAGACTATCTGGTAGCAAACAGATGACTCTGCAGGATCCACAATGGACCAACTTCAATCCTTTTAAGAAAACCAGTTTCTTCCTTTTCCTATAATTATAATATTGTCATTAAACAACCTTAAGATTTGTTTCGTTTCTCAGTATTCCAATCCTGAGAGGCCCTGAATACATGCCTTCTGTAAATAAACTGCCTGGCCAACATTCTGGCAAGCCTCGCAGACTTGTTAGAAGCAGGCCTTAAGCCACCACCAATGGTAGCAGAAACCCACCTGGCCAGAATTAAAGCACCGCCAGTTTCTAAGAATACACCCATCCTGCCCTGAATGGCTTCCTTAAAGACAAAGAACATAATGGTGCCGGCCCGGCGCAGTGGCTCACGCATGTAATCCTAGCACTTTGGGAGGCCAAGTCAGGTCAATCACCTGAGGTCAGGAATTTATTACCAGCCTGGCCAACATGGTGAAACCCTGTCTCTACTAAAACACAAAAATTAGCCAGGCATGGTGGCGGGCAACTGTAATCTCAGCTACTTGGGAGGCTGAGACACAAGAATCATTTGCACCTGGGAGGCGGAGGCTGCAGTGAGCCAAGATCGCACCACTACACCACAGCCTGGGGGACAGAGCAAGACTCTGACTCATAAATAAATAAATAAAGGTGTCAAGTAGAAATGACTCAAGATTTTAAAAAAAATTATTATAAAGCCACTACAATGATGGCTTTGTTACTTAGGGATGGCTAAGTAACAAAGGAAGAGGTTAGTAACCAAAAATTACAGCAAGCTCCACATAAAAGAATGTTTCTATTATTTGGGGAGAATATTTAATTGCTTAAATAAGAATAGACACAAGAAATTGTACAGTGTAAGCCTTTATTCTTGTAATCACTTGTAAAAATTTGTGAACTCTTTAAGACTCCAATTACGTAAAACTTTCTAAATCAAGTATCAGAGAAGTAAATTTTAAACCCTACCTATTAGAAAAACCATTTGAAAAACACACATTGACATTACACTTACTTTACAATGTGTTGTACTGATGGGAAGGCCAATATTTGATGCAATCACCACAGTGAGGGCAGATGCCAGTTCAATACTGAAGCCACTATAGACACAAAAGGATTCTCGTCAGGAATTCAGCTTGACTTTTTTGAGAAGCTAACACTACTTCTCAAGTTAACACAGTCCTGCTTTCTTCTACTCAGTCACAAAACCTCCACTGACATCTTTATTTGCTATAACCCCTAAGATCCACCTTATTTAAATCAAGCCACGGGATGCCCAGTTTCCTTATTCTAAGGTTTCAAGTTTCATATTTATCTGGAAGTCCTTTTTTTTTTCTTTGAGATGGAGTCTCACTCTGTCACCCAGGCTGGAGTGCAGTGGTGCGATCTTGGCTCGCTGCAACCTCTGCCTCCTGGGTTCATGCAATTCTCCTGCTTCAGCCTCCTAAGTAGCTGGGATTACAGGCACGTGCCACCATGCCTGGCTAATTTTTCTGTTTTCAGTAGAGACAAGGTTTCACCATGTTGGTCAGGCTGGTCTTGAACTCCTGACCTCGTGATCCACCTGCCTCAGCCTCCCAAAGTACTGGGATTACAGGCATGAGCCACCACACCTGGCCCTGGAAGCCCACTATTAAATAAAATTTGCACTTTTATTTTGAAGAGTTTGGTAAACATGACTCTTAGCTCCCAAGTAAAGACAAATAAAAAGCAAGTATACATAACTATCCACTCTTAGCACACACAGCTTTCTCAGAAAAGTCATTTTCTTCAGAGACCACTGGAGCTGAATGGATAAAATGTCTGACCAAAATGTTTAAGATCAAGACAAGTAAAATCTAAAAAGAACACATTGACAATAAGAACATCAGGAACTTAAACAAACTTGGTTACTTTAAACTAGAGATTCATTAGCACTTGACAGTATTACATCTCTGAAGAAAATGAGTACTGACCTCTGTAAGACCTGCTCCACCTACTTACCTAGAGGGTGTGATCGGTGTCAGATCCTTCCCCATGGTCTGGATTACTCTCCTTCCCCAAACCCACAGACCAATACAGATACCAACACCACCATAGAGTAGAAGCCATATTGGTGTTGCCACTTTTGAAGAAACATCTCCCGTGTCATAAACCAAATATAAAGCAACCAGAGGCCCAATGGCATTGCTGGAAGAAACAAAGAGAGCAGAAGTAATTTTTCAGGCAGAACTAGATCTTGGCAAGATCCAATTTGCTGAATGACATACCAGGTTATCTAAAGCATAGCTTTCAAGCAAAAGGGCTTTTTCTTTCCAAGGATATAAATAGAACCCCAACATACACAAAAGACAAATGAACACAGCTCTGGTGGAGGGAGCACCATGCAAATGGTGGCCTCTTTCTTCCTATAGGCAGCTTAAAGCAACTCTCAGGTTCCAATAAAGTTTACAAAGCAAACTACAAAATCATTCTGTATGAAAAGCTTTCAAGTTATTCATCTTACATCCCACAATTCACTACCAAAGAATTGGATCTCATCTTGATAGACAAAAGCCTTCTCTGTGAAAGATACCTATTATCTACAGAAATAAAGTTAAAAACATTCTTTGTAATTCCTCTGAAGAGTAAAACTGTACTGTCTTATTAAGTCGATGACTGCTATTACCTCATTCTATTTGTATTATTCAGGGTCCCATAAGTGCTAGTAGTACCACTACCACAAGCACAGGCTTATGAAAAGGATAAATGGTTTAAAAATAGGGTTAACAACATGAAGATCAATGTCAACTCACCTTACATCATTGCCACCATGGGCAAATGAGCCAAAGCAGGCTGTAAGGATCTGCAAGAATTGGAAGAGGAGAGAGACTTCAGGCTTATCCTGATCATACCATTCTTCTAGAGAGCCATTGCTTCCTTTTCTGTCACCTAGACCCATCTCTGCCTTGACACTCATGTCTATCTCAGATGCAGAGTGAAGGTCTGACACAGCATTGCAGTAACTGGTATAACTGTCCATTCGAATTCGCTTCTTGGAGTCAGCATTAGGCCATGTCAGCTTCTCCATTTCTTCGCCCTTCTGTTCACCTTCTTTGGCACGGAATGAATCCAAAGCCATGCCACATATTGCCATAGTATAGGAAGTATAGCTATTATTGCGCCTTAAGGGTTTGTCACCAGAGTCTCCCATGCAGTCTCCCACCTTGGCAAGATGTAATTTATGGAGCAGCTCTTTGTACAAGCCGGAATCTTTATGCACAGTGTGATACTGGTAGTGGCCACTGGAGTTTATTTGGTTGCTGACGGCTTGACTGAACTGGACAAGGTTCCCATTAGGCAACTGCACTGCACCTAGTCAAGATCACCAAGGTGACAATCAATACAAAAAGCAACAAATCTAAAACAGTAAGCCTTCTCACCACTGCAGATAACAAAGTGAAACCAGGAATTCCAACTCACCATTCACAGTGCTATCTATGCTGGTTTCCTCTTTCAAGTCCACGCTGGGAAGCCTTTCTTGCTCTGGAGCTTCTTCCAAATCTCCAAGTTTGAATGAGACTGTTCTCTCCTCCACCACAGCCTGAAGAGGCACAGTGGCAGACCCTACCTCAGAAACAGGATTCCCGTTTTCAATATCACTGACAGACAACTTTGTTTCTTCATGGTCTTCTTTCAAGCTATTCTTCTTTTCCATTAAGGGGCTTTCAGATGGACTAGACTTTATTTCTCCTAGGGAAAAAAAAAGGGTTTTTTTTTGGTTTGGTTGTGGCCATACTACCTTGTTCCACATCTCCTTTCTTCCACCCCCAAAAAACCCATCTCAAAACAACAATGTATGTGAACTTCAGGAACGTTTTTTCCTGCCTGCTTTATCATTTGCCAGCAACTCTCACTTGGGAACAACCAGCAATGCAGAACACCCTATGTCGGGGGTCCCAAACGTTTTCTGTAAATATTTTAGGTTTTACGGGCTTCTGTAGCATATTCGTGTTATGTTTTTATTTTTACAACCCTTTACAGATATAAGAACCCTTCTTAGCTCCCTACTGACCCATTCTGCAGTGGAAAGTAGCTCAATCACTGGGGTGATAATCTGAAACTAAAAATCTGAACTATACCCAATTCTATTCTTTTTAAAAGAGGATTCTCGCCAGGCGCGGTGGCTCACGCCTGTATGCCTCGGAGGCCGAGGCGGGTGGATCATGAGGTCAAGAGATCGAGACCATCCTGGTCAACATGGCGAAACCCCGTCTCTACAAAAAATTAGCTGGGCATGGTGGTGCACGCCTGTAATCCCAGCTACTCAGGAGGCTGAGGCAGGAGAACAGCCTGAACCCAGGAGGCAGAGGTTGTGAGCTGAGATTGCGCCATTGCACTCCAGCCTGGGTGGGTAACAAGAGTGAAACTCTGTCAAAAAAAAAAAAAAAAAAGATTCTCTCCAATTTCAGTCCATCAATTCAAGCAAAGTGGCATAGCTCAATGCAGGGAACAAAAGATGACAACTTTAATTTCCACCTCTATGAAACAGAGATGTGCCTTATGGCTCTAAATCCCATAGGCAGACCAGAGTATCTCTTGCCTATCTCTCATGCCAGTGTTCCGTATGCTGACCTATCCATTCAGGCACCTCAAACTACAGACTGACTAACATAAAGCAAGACTTGTTTCATCTCCTCCCAGAAAGGGAAAATGAGGTCACAGAGTCCTGAAAGCCTGGTTCCCACCGTGCACTTGGCACAGCCAGACTAGCAGAGAACCTCTCGGAGGCTCCTCCACTCAGCTGCGGTGACGCAGCATTCTTCCTAATGCCTCTGCAGTCTGTGCATCCCTCAGCTTCGAAAGGATAAACTTGCAATGGCTAACCCAGCCTTCACATAGATGAAAAGGACAGAAAATGATTCTTTTAAGGAAAAAAAATACAAGATTTAAGGTAAGTCTGATACTGACCAAAATTTACTCAGTATTTAATTATGAGTGTGTTGTAATGACCTAAATGATTCTTTACCATGACACTTGAAAATGTTTACTTCTAGAATCTGTGTTACAATTCTAGCAGAAACGCAATGTATGTTTGTATATGTATTTGCATTGTATACTGAAATACAATGTCTATATGTATTCTAGCCCATATACAACATGTACACATTAGACTTAGCTTTGTGTGTCTGAATCTGAAGTTATACACAGAAGTAGTTGGGGCAAATGTTTCCTCTATGAAAATATCTTGTACCTACCCCTTATTTTCCATTAAGGTATCCTTATATTTCTCAGTAAATGTAGGGTATGAATCTATCATGTTACTGGAAACTGACCAAGGAACACTAAAAAAAAAATTAATGTCTCTACAGCATAGGCTGAATACTCTTTATCACTAGGTCTTAGGTCATGTAGTCTATTTAAGAACACAGTTTGGACAACAAACCGATATTCTCAAATTTCCCTTTAAAATCTTTTATTTTGCCTATCTATCCTAATAGATTTTTTTTTTTTTTTTTTTTGAGATGGAGTTTCGCTCTTGTTACCCAGACTGGAGTGCAATGGCACGATCTCAGCTCACTGCAACCTCCACCTTCTGGGTTCAAGCAATTCTCCTGCCTCAGCCTGCCAAGTAACTGGGATTACAGGCACGCACTACCATGCCCAGCTAATAGTTGTATTTTTAGTAGAGGCGAGGTTTCACCTCGTTTACCAGGATGGTCTCGATCTCTTGACCTCATGATCCACCTGCCTCGGCCTCCCAAAGTGCTGGGATTATAGGCGTGAGCCACCGCGCCCGGCCTATCCTAGTAGATTTTTACAGGTAACCAAACAAAAAAGAAATAAGCACAACATTAGTAAACTTTTCTGCTATAACTTATTACTTACGTTCAATTTTTCTCTTCATCCTGGGACATACAAAGAACCAGACGATAAGGGCACAGAAAACTGCACATCCCACCGAGATGAGGATGGTACCCCACAGAGGAAGTTTGTCAAAGCCCAGCACTAGGAGATAAAATGGTGCATCTTGAAAACCCCAGGGCAACAGCCCCCTGCAATAATGTGTAAACCCTCCTCTGGGGACTAAGGGATTCCCCAAGCCAGCCCATCACCCTTGATAGCTGCTGCCAGATTTAAGTGCACAGGGTTCACTGTGCTAGTGCCTATACAAATTTGGGAGAAAAACTCAATGATCATCTGAAAACCCACGCCAGCCTGGCCCACCTGAACACCTGCGAGACTCGTGTCCTATGCCTCAACATAGTAGCCTTCTTCCTTTCTTCACTTTATAAGATAGTAAGGATCATTACATGCTAAGGACCTGTGACTAGCTATGAAAAAGAAAAGTGTTCCACTCCCTAGCTCGTAATCATAACTGCCACATATTCCACTACCACGTACAAACTTATTTTAATGTCAAAAGAATGATGTCTCAGTAGTCACATTTGTCATGCTGACATAATTCTGTGTAAAAGTGATTACATCCATTGCACCGGCCTTCAGTAAAATCCTCTAAAGAGATTATCTCCTTGAAAGCAGTATCGAAGCAAGATACAAACAACAAAAATTCCTATCAAAAGTCAGTAATTTAAAGTTTTGTCTTTCAGCAGGGCACAGTGGCTCATGTCTGTAATCCCAGCACTTTGGGAGGCCAAGGCAGGTAGATCACCTAAGGTCAGGAGTTTGAGACCAGCCTGGCCAACGTGGCGAAAGCCATCTCTACTAAAAATACAAAAAAATTTAGCCAGGCATGGTGACGCACACCGGTAGTCCCAGCTACTCAGGAGTCTGAGGTGGGAGAATCGCTTAAACCTGGGGGCAGAGGTTGCAATGAGCTGAGATTGTCCAGCCTGGACTTTGTCTCAAAAAAAAAAAAAAAGTTTTGCTTTCACAAAAAGGAAAATTTAGTGGTAATTTCACTAGCAAGTCTTATCTTAAAAAAAAGAGACTTGCCTAGCAACACTTCCCATGTGGTTTAAGAATGAGCAGTATTAGTCATGATTTTATTGTCACCTACATGCCAGTAGGCTCCAAACCATTAGTCTGTACTAAAGACAGAAACAAAGCACTGGCTGGGTGCAGGGGCTCGCGCCTGTAATCCCAGCACCTTGAGAGGTCAAGGCAGGCGGAACACCTGAGGTCAGGAGTTTGCTTCTCCTCACCAGTACATAAGAGTTCAGTATTTCCTAAGAACGGTATTTTCTTAAAAGTTCTCTGTTTTGGTCCTGATTATTCCAAGAATAAAAGCAAGATTTAAAACTTAGCTCCACCTAACAAAATGCACACACATAATTGTGAATCTAAAAAAAGATTTAAAAAAAAATGCAAACATTTAGCTAACTCCAGGGTCAGCAACTACTTAGTGAGGTTTAAGAGGCAAGTCACAACCCATTAGTCAAAACTGAAATCATTTCAGTGGGCCACAACAAATGTTTAAAAAAAAAACTAAAGAGAATTTGAAAATATGGGTGCATAGCACATAGTTAAGTATAAGCGGCTCATAACACTATTCCAGTTATCTTTCTCTCTATATACATACACATGTATCCCGTATTTCTTCCAGTGGGTCACAGTATAAAGAAGAAAAGTCACTGCCTACGTAGTCACAGACCATCAGGGCCAAACGAGCCTAGATACCAAAACTGTACTGTCCTGCAAGTTACAAGTTACCAATCTTTTGTAGTTGCTAAATTAAACTTGTAGCACCATAATTTAATCCATGCCTTGCCTTAGTCCCAAACATGAAAGTAATCAACATTTCAACCTTTATATTCTCACAAATTATTTTTCCTCTCAGCTGCATGGATTTCTTCTTCCAAGTGCACTTAGAGCAGGTGGTAAACATCCCAACTCTTCTCATTCAAGCAGATTCACGGAAGTTTAGTAATTAGAAACAATAGTATCTCCATTTGGGAGAGAAAAATGAGACTATCCAGCAAACCAGTCCTAAACGACTGATTACTGAAGACCAGATATAACTAATGACTTCAGTAGTCGAGGTCAGTATTAATTCCAGCATTTTTAGTATAGACAGGAGAAAGGGAAGGAGAAGGTCATATTATCGTGGATCCTGTGAAGACTAAAGAGGAAAGGTCTGTAGTGATTTAGAATCTGAGCAGGTCTCTTTGGTTGAAAAACTATCTAGGTTAACTCAGCATACACTAGCCTGCAGCCTTCTGAAATGGGCGCAGGCCAGCCACCTTCTAGGAGATTTCAGCCCTGTAAAGCAAAAAGGGGTAAATTGGGCATTTAATGCAAGTTTTGTAAACAACTTTATATTCACATTTAAATGTTTTGATATGTACTTACACGGTGCTCCGGTATACATGATGGAAAAGAGGTTTATTCCAACTGTGCAGGCATAGAAAACTGGCAAAGCTCGCAAACCATTAGGAACTGGATCTGCCTGTAAAACATCATTAAGATCAATATCTTAAAAGCTATAAAAGTTAACCCATTTCCACAGAATCTTGTAACAGGGTAGGTTTGGGAATTACAGTGCCAGTAACTGTCCCTCCAGCAGTTTCCAAAGCCAACTGGGCCTGCATTTGCTCCTGGAATTCTTCCTATGAAGGTTAATTCCAACTTCAACCTGTTTTTTTTTTTTTTTTTTCTATTTTTCATAACAAGGCTACCTCTACCAGTGACTGATAACCTCCTGAAAAAATGATTTCAACAGCCACATTCTAAGGTACCCAAAAAGCCCTAACATAAACTTGAGCACATGACTGAGGATAGGCTATACTCTACGTTTGTAAGAGATGTCAAGACACACTATGTTAGGATGCTGCTTACCTGACGACTTCATACCTTCAAAGACTAAAAATACAACATGCAGACTATACCTATGGCAACCATCTTATCTAAACATCTGACAAAGATGCCAATGCTTTACCGAAGTCCAATGATAAAAACTGATTGCACACAAGGTCATCCACTCACTCAACAGACTGTGTGCCAAGCACTATCCTGGGCATTGAAGTATAGGAGGGAGTAAGACCAAGTTCCTGTATATACAAAAAATTAGCTGGGCGTGGTTGTGCATATCTGTAATTCCAGCTACTCAGGAGGCTGAGGCAGAAGAATTGCTTGAACCCAGGAGTCAGAGATAAGCCAAGATCGCACCACTGCACTCCAGCCCAGGTGAAAGAGCAAGACTCTGGGAGGACACGGCTGCAGTGAGCTACCATTAGGCCATCAAATTTCAGCCTGGGTGACAGGGCAAGATTTTGCTTCTTAAAAGAAAAAAATGCCAGGCGTGGTGGTTCAAGCCTGTAATCCCAGCACTTCGGGAGGCCGAGGAGGGTGGACGACCTCAGGTCAGGAGTTCAAGACCAGCCTGGCCAACATCGCAAAACCCCATGTCTACTAAAAATACAAAAAAAAAAAAAAAAAACTAGCCAGGCATGGTGGCAGGTGCCTGTAAGCCCAGCTATTCAGGAAGCTGAAGCAGGAGAATTGCTTGAGCCCTGGAGGCAGAAGTTGCAGTGAGCCGAGATAGTGCCCAGCATTCCAGCCTGGGTGACAGAACAAGACTTCATTTCAAAGAAAAAAAGCTCCAAAAAACCCAACCCAAGACTCCCACACCGCAAAACTAAAACCCTTTAGTGTTCTAAAGACATTATGTGGGGACTTCTCTACAGATTTTCAAAGACTATTTCATAATATAGGATTATCTATAAATCAAACGTAATTGACTTATCAGAAGTAGCAGCCTGTGTATTTATTATTCTGTACAGTATAGCCCAATTAAGTATTCCCTGAGGTAAAAAAAAAAAAAATCTGAGGTATTCTCTATACAAAGTAGTTGGGGATGGGGTAGGGAATGAAGGACACTACTATACCAAGTTTATTATGAAATACAGGATCATAGTTAAAAAAAAAGTCAAAAGTTCCAAAGAGCCTAGGAAAAAGGTACAAGAAAGGACTCTCATCTTTGTACAGATCCACCTAACACACAAGTAAAACTTCACCTGGAAATAATGTGAATGCCTGATCATCTATCTAGTCATGTGGGATGGGAAAGAAGGTCTTCACATAACCCCCTACGTTCACCAGAATAGTTCACTTTTACATATTGGATATTCTGTTTTTGTCTAAAGAAAAGGGAAGATAACCTAAATATATTTCTCATAATACATGAGAATGCCAAAAGCCCTGTTTTCTTTGACTAGAATTTAAAAATACTCAACAGGAGCACTGAGGAGTATCCCTTCTGTACAATGCCAGTCCTTAACAGAAGCACCTCACCTCCACTGTGTCTGTCCCTACCAAATTACCAACATGCTTGGAGCAAACATTCAGAGAATAGAAAATGTTTAAAAAGAAGTTTTTTGAAATAAAAAGATGTACTTTTAATCTTAATTTCCAAGATAGACTTTTAAGAGTTGGAATGTATCTTAATGGTCAAATATTCAGATTTTAGCAGTTAGGATCCCCAAAGCTTACCAGTCTATTTTCTTGAAATTTAACTCCTAAAAAGAAGCAGAAAGAGTCACACTCACCTGAAAACTCCTGTTAGAGAAGAACTGGCCTGCAAGAGTGTATGTGCATGTACACGCAGAGTGGGGGAAGATCCTCAAAGTCAATATTGTTTTATTTATTTATTTTTTTGAGACAGAGTCGAGATCCATTGGCAGTTTGGAGTGCAGTGGTGTAATCTCGGCTCACTGCAAGCTCTGCCTCCTGGGTTCAAGCAATTCTCCTGCCTCAGCCTCAAGTACCTGGGACTATAGGTGCCTGCCACCACACCCAGCTAATTTTTGGTATTTTAGTAGAGATGGAGTTGGCCAGTATGATCTCTAACTCCTGACCTCACGATCTGCCTGCCTCGGCCTCCCAAAGTGCTGGGATTACAGGAGTGAGCCATCGCACCCGGTCCATCAATATTGCTTTAAACACTATGCCAATCATTCTTCATTTCATCATACCCATTCTCATACCCACATGAAAAATATACAGTTAATACTACAAATTAGCTGGGCTGCTCCCCAGTGTGGGCGACAGAGCGAGACTCCATGTTAAAAAAAAAAAAAAAACCCAGAAAACAAAAACAAAATATATGGTTAAGAAATCAGTTACTATATCTAACTTCAGCTCTCAGTAACAGCGTGGGAGTATGCATTCCTCAGATGAGAGGTTCTGGCCACTTAAGAATCCCTTTTTGCACCTCAGAGGACCACCATTCCCCCTCTGGGAAATTAAGTTTGTTTTCTGGAGGTGAAACACACAAACCAACTCCAAAAACAAAATGATGTTACTCAATCATCAACAAAGGGCCAGTATAAACCTTGATAAAGCGGGAATTCCCAACAGGAGATCCTACTAATGCTTCTGACTCTCTGCTAAGTAGCAGGATATAGGGTTCTAATAGAAGTACTAAAAAAACCCGGTCCATGACAGCCAGGCACAGTGGCTCACGCCTCTAAACCCAGCACTTTGGGAGGCTGAGGTGGGCAAATCACGAGGTCAAGAGATCAAGACCACCCTGGCCAACCTGGTAAAACCCTGTCTCTACTAAAAACACAAAAATTAGCTGGGCATGGTGGCGCAAGCCTGTAGTCTCAGCTACTCGGAAGGCTGAGGCAGGAGAATTACTTGAAGCCAGGAGGTGGAGGTTGCAGTGAGCCAATACTGCACCACTGCACTCCAGAGCAAGACTCCGTCTCAAAAAAAAAATCCAGTCCATGACTACTGGTGAGCCTCTAATTTAAGCATCCTAGTATCATACACTACAGTTGTAGGGTGTGGGAAGGTAGGTGCTTATTGTACCTGTCTGCTGAATGAAACAGAACCAAAACTATAAATCCATAAATATCGATGAACTGTTTACTCTTATCAATTATACCAAGCTAGAAATATTTCAAGTTTTCAAAGTGTTAAACTGCTATATTCTGCCAGATTCTGGCTATGGAAAATAGTGATTAGTAAATCACTTTTCTAGTCACAGAACTGCTATGGAGAAGACAAATCATTCCCTAGAGAAGCTTAGAACTAGACCAGACAAGTGGGTCTGAATACATTCTTATCCGCTGGGATTTATGCTATCTCCCTTCACTCAGATTTCTACAGTTTAGGGACATTTTTAAGAACTTACAATGGATTGTTAAGAGCCATTCACCTTAGAAAAAGGACAACTTTGTTTCCTGAGAAAAATGCATTTATTCTTACTGTAACTTAGTCCTATGCCAACATAATCCCTTGTCTACATTTATTTTGAAGCCAGCATGACTTCTTGATAAAAGAAATGCTATTGGGTAACTTAAAAAGGATTTTCAAACAGACAGGAAATGAAATGGCTGCCTCAAAAAAAAATTTTTGTTGGCCAAAAACGACCTTTAACTGGTTCTTTTCACCTATTCTGAGAAACTGGAATCAAGTCACTCACATCTAGAAGCTTATAAACTAGTTATGATAATCAGCATTGCAGAGACCCATTTAACTGGCAGCTTAATAAAAAAGCTGCAGGGGATACTGACTTGAATTCCAAGCTTATATACATTGTATTAGCTTGTATATAATGGTGGTTCAAACAAACACTCTATAAACAGCTATACAAAGCCACCCAAAATAAATTTCCTTATTTTTTTGCTCCCAGTTTATCCTATTTCTTGGCACATCATAGCCTTCAATTTTTCTTCCCTGACTGCCCTCTTATTAAAAACTTGCTTCTTTCAGAGAACTCCACAACATACAAGAGGCACACAGAACAAAGAACTATTTTAACTTTCCAAGGCCGCATACCTATACACCAATCACATCTGCAAAAGTACCACTGGGTTTGAAACCGACTGGGTGTGATCCATGAAAGGTCTTCATAAGGGAGAGAGTTACCTTATAAGGGAGAGAGTTACCTTATGGAGGATGAACGCACGAACTAGAAAGAATAAAATTCCAGACATAATTCCAGAAAGCAGTGGGGACACGAACCAAGACATCACTGGAATAGAACACATTAAGAAAAAATATCAAATAATGAAAATCAGAAACCAAAAGCTACTTTAAATGTTTAAGAGTTCAAAATTCTTTGGTCTGTCCCTCCACATGAGAACACATACTCCCATACCTAATACCATGGTAACATGTGACAAAAACAAAAATTAAGACACCATTCGGAACATTAAACATACCAATTTTTATCAGTTCAGACCACTTGACACCCTCCTGCCCCTGTGCCACGAGGGAGAAACCAATGGTTGCACCAACAATACAATGGGTTCCAGAAATGGGGAGCTTCAAAAACGAAGCCACGAGTTGCCACACAGCAGAACCTGAAACAAAGTCAAGTTTTATTAAGTAAATGGCAAAATTCTATTAGGTAAGTGGTGCATTCCGAAAGGTTAATCTGAAAGGTTAAGCACAAAAATGGAACCACCCATGATACAAATTTGCTCACCCACCACGAAGAGGACAAAACAAAAAGAACTTACCGAACATAGCACTGACTGAGCCGGCCATCAGCCACTCTCTGGTTGAGTTGTACATCTCCACGTCAATCAAGCCCTTCCGGATGGTTTCGCTCACTTTGGCCCCCAGTAAGACCGAGCCCACTGTTTCAAAGATGCTAGCTAGGATGCAGGCTTGCTTCAGGGTCACTACACCTGAGCCCACAGCTGTACCAAAAGAATTTGCTACATCATTGGCTCCCACGGAGAATGCCAAGACAAATGCAATAATGAAGCCCAGGATGAGCATCCACAGACAGCCCACCAACGGACCAGAAGCTGTAATACTGGGAATCGGCGTTGCCATTCTCTAGAGTAGTGGTTATTTAGTAAGAGAATTACTAAGCGGCTTTCAAGATGTGTAAACAGAATATGAGGTATCAAAAAATGCTGTAATAAATAATATATATTATATAAAATTAAATACTGTAAACTACGGCACAGAAACCGAGCTGGGGAGTTACTGCTATACGTTGCGTATGGGCATCTGTTGTCTGGGGTTTCTTTGGCTCAGGAAGGCTAAAAGCACGGAGCAGAATTCCATGGCGAAGAGAAAGGACGCAAATTCATCCTGCGGGGAAGGGGGAAAATAACAATAGCTGCACGACCCTGGAGGGCCAGTGGGGCACCGGCTCTACCCATGCGCCCGGGGCCCCGCCGTGCCCTCTGCGGGCTACTCCAGACCCCATTCCCCCTAGACGCGCGAGACGGCGGGGCACGTGGCTCCGGGGCCTCCGCGCGCGCCCAGCCCGGCCCCCGCGCTGCCAGCCCGCGCGCGCCCTCAGTACGAAAACCGGAAAAGGGCTGTTCCCGCGCGCGCCGCTCGGGGACCGCCAAAAAGGCCCGCGGGCGGGCGGAATGAAGGCGGCCAGCGGTGAAGCGAGAAGCCGCACCACCCACGCTGGCCGCCGCCGGCGCCACGGCGTCCGCGCCCAGCCCCGGGGAGAAGAAAGAGCCTTTACGAGGCGGCGCCACTACTCACCAGGGGAAAGGGAGGGCGGAGCGGGAGATGAGGAGATCGAGGTGGCGGCGGCTGGAGCCACGGGCACACGCGCCTGCTGTCGGCGAGCACACGGCCCGGGTCGGCGGCACCGGGGACAGCTCCACGGGGCTCACAACTTACCCAGGAAGCAGCCGCAGGGCTCTCAGCAGCCGAAAAGAGCAAGCACGCAACGAGTGCCAGCGGCCATCACTCTAGCGGAGCACGCCACCGGCCCCTACTTATAGCCGGCGCCGCGACCCGCGTGACCTGCCGCGCCTCGCGCCGGCCCCGGAGCCCCGCCCCCGGCATGACGCAGCCCCCGCCGACCCGGCGTGCCCAGCCTGGTGAGCCCGACGGTGGCGCTCATTGGCTCGGCCCGCGCTGGTGGCCACGCCCCCAGCAGGGAGCCGGTCCACGTGGGGCGGGACAACCCCTCCCGGCGCCCTCATCCGGGAGTCCCCGCACTGTCTGGTCCCGCCGGCTGGTTACCGCCAGAGACCCAGGGGGGACCTCGCCGTGTCCCCGGAGGCCGTCATGCGGGGTTACAGAGGCTGCGACCAAGGTCATTCCTAGGTCCTCTCTCGGGGCTCCGAAAGCCGTCCGCCCCTCAAGCCGCACTTTCAGCGCACGCATGACCTGCCGCGCCCGGTGGCCACACCCGTCCCGTCTGCCCGGTGACGCTGCGGGAGAGCTTGCGCCTTGGGGCTCCAGATCCAGTTCTGGCACGTTGTTGCACCTGTGACTTGTCCTTGGCCTGGCACTGTCCCTCGCCTGGGGGAAGGCGGGGGGAAATGCTCATGTGGTCGCTTTGCTCCCGCAGTCATGCACTTGGGACTGAAGAGTCACGGGAACCAGCTTGTCTCCCCAGTTATGGCGCAGAACTGCAAGGATGGCTGTGGGTCATTAATTTCCCCGTGGCCTACCTGTGTTTGTAGCGCCGCAGCTGTGGCGAGGGGGAAGGACACTGCTTCGGATTCAAATTCTGACTCCTTGCTGCAGTGTGTCACCTTGAGCAAGTCCCAAATCTCTGACTGCGTTCTCACAATTGTAAAATGTTAACAGTGGCTGCCCACCTTGTGGCTGGAATTAAATGAATTAACGTGTGTGAATGTGGCTAGAACTCAGTAGATGTTCAGGAAAAGCTGATTTCCGCTTTGCTGTTACCGTGAATGTGCTTGTTTTAGAATGTAGAAAAGGGTGGGAGGGGATGTTCTTGCATCCTGGAAGCTTATCCTTTTGAGGTAAAGATTGATTTCTGGTCCCCTGCGTGGTATATAGTGTAGTTTTGACATTATTCAGATGCTTTATGTATATTTGGGGGTTGTTTGATTATATGGCTTAGAAGCAAGTCTAACCAGTCATGCCATGGGAGATTTAGGTCGTGGTCTCTTGTGAGGATTGTAAGGAGATGTAAAAATTCCAGCCAGAAATACCAGGCTTAGCATGCTCCGAAGCCTTCCCCACGTTTTTGCTATCTCTAACAGCAGGGCACTGCATAGCAGAAACAAAGACGTTGTAAATTGTTGCTGTCTGAGTCATTTATAGAGGCTTAAACAACCTGAGTGTCCTCTGACCTACCTAGAACATTTGATGGAGTTGTATGAGTAACTTACAAAGTTCTAGGTCCCAAGGTCGTATCTGAAAAAGAAAGTTCATATCCGGGAGCACTGACCCTGTAGTGTAATCCTGGCATCTTAAAACGTACTGCTCCCTCCACCTTCACTTAAAGGTTATGAAAACATTGAGTAAAAAGAATGATCTGTTCAAAGTCCTTAGTGTTCTGCCAATTTAAAACACCAATTTTCAAAGCAGTTATTTGCAAGGAAATTGCCTAGAACTTCTAGTGTGCGGTTGTTGTCTTTTTTTTTTTTTTTTCCAATCTGTCCACAGGCGTATTTTTGTAGAGCTGTGATAGGAGGTAGCTCTTGACATTGGCAAATACTTGCTGGACAATCTGTGAGAGGTTCATCTGAGTGAGAGAACACTCTCCAGGCCCCTGGGGTCGGTATGCAGGGAAATCATAAGGTAGAGATTCAAAGGCATTCCCTTGCATTGCAAATGAAAACTGCCTGTATCCTCAGGCTCTGATATAGTATAACTCTTCTTTTTTAGGAAGAAATCCTCATCTTTCCAACACTGAGAATGCTTCTGCCAGAGAGTAGAAAGGGAGGTGAGGAATTGGGGTGGGCCCTCACTGCTGTGCCTCAGGATCAGTAGGGTATAGCCCTTGGAGACCTGGACCTTCCTTGGTTAGGACGCCTTCATCCTCCCCTAAGGGAGGAGAGGTAGGGCTCTGCCCCTGGGAAGTTACAGTGCCTTGTAAATAGAAATAGGAGATAGGAGGACCATCCATTTGTGTACAAATGGCATTGTTTCTGGCCTTATCTCTGAATGCTGGGGAAGAGGTCAGAGATCCTAAAGAAAATCTAATCTCTTACAATCCAGGCATTGGCACAAACACCCTCTAGCATCTTAGGGAGGCAGTTTGGTCTGGCGGTTAAACACAGACTGTAAGAGCAGACCACCTGCTCTGTTACTCCCTAGTCCTGTGACTATAGGCAAATAAATTCTCTGCCTCAGTTCCCTAATCTGTAAAGGGGAGAGATTGAGAGTTCTAATTCACAGGGCTGTTGTGAGGACCAAGTGAATGAATATATGTAATATGTAAAGCCCTTTGGGAGGCCGAGGTGGGTGGATCACGAGGTTAAGAGATTGAGACCATCCCGGTCAACATGGTGAAACCCGGTCTCTACTAAAAATATAAAAAATTAGCTGGGCATGGTGGCACGTGCCTGTAATCCCAGCTACTCAGGAGGCTGAGGCAGGAGAATTGCCTGAACCCAGGAGGCGGAGGTTGCAGTGAGCCGAGATCGCGCCATTGCACTCCAGCCTGGGTAACAAGAGCAAAACTCTGTCTCAAAAAAAAAAAAAAAAAAAAAAAAAAAAAAAAAGAACTCTTATTCTCTTTGTTCAATAACTAACTAAAGGCCTGTCATACATAGCCCGTGTTTAAAATGAAGCATTTGTCAGTTGTCAGGACCACCCTCATCCCCCTGCCCTTTGATGCAAGCTCTTTCAAATTTCTCCCACAGCTCATAGTGAGGGGACATGCAAAATGGGCTGCTGCCAGAAGAAGAGGAGCAGGGTTGTGGATCATGCCACATGAATGGGCTCACTGGCCTGGCTCAGACCCTGAGTGCCCATAGGATCTTTGGAGAGTCGCTGTCACTAACTCTGTGAGCCGAGGGTCCCTCCCAACCCTTGTCCTCAGGACAAAAGAAGACAACCTGTGGCATGTTTTAGAACACCGTGCCGGGCACTGTGCGTTTGGAGTCTTCTCACTAATTGAGTGGAGTTAAGCTGCTGAGAGCTAGGAAAGCTACTCTCCCCCGCATCCCAACCTAGCCCAGACCAGGCAAAAGGAGGAGACAATGCCATTTCTGTACTTTTTAGTTCAGAGAGGTACAGTCAAGGAACTGCATTTGAGGTCACTGTTCAATGTGCATGAAGTAATCATCCTGGGAATAGTCTGCTTGGAGCAGGGGGAACTCAAGTGGGTATGGGAACCTTGTGGAGCCAGACCAGGAACAAAGGTGGCTTCAGAGGCCATCTATGAGGACTTGGATGGAAGCAGAGGCGAGAACATCCAGAGAAGAGAAGGTAAAGGAGAACCAGCTCCTCCACGCACCAATGCCCTCCCCATCCCCAGATGAATGAGGTAATAATATCTGTGATGAAGTTGAATGCTTACTCTGTGCCAGGTACTGTTTCAGGTGCTCTGCATGGATTGTCTCAGGTGATGCTCTCAGTAAAGCTTGGATGAGGTATTTTCCCCTTACATTATAGACAGAGAAACAGAGGCACAGAGAAGGAAGCGACAGTTAAAGCTGCGAAGAACCTAACAAATTTCAAGACTGTGCCTTTTCCCAGATGCCAGCAAGTGCTGAGGCAAGTATGATTGCCCTAGGTGCCAACTCTTATTTGCACTTAAGTTAACACATCCACTTCCTTCTGCTTTCCCCCTCATTTTTATTAACTCGTTTGCTTTTACAGCCTATATTTTGAGCCGTGTCAAACCCTGTTGGAATAGAAAAGGACATTTCTAGGAGTTCAGTCTTCAAGATTGGCCCCAGTTTCCCCAGAGTAGGAAGAGGCAGGAAGCCAAAGCACATGTTCTCTCCAGAAATAAAGTTGTTGCAGTGACCTAACCATGTCTAGAGTTACCGAAAACTCTGTTCTCTTGAGACTTCTCAAGAAAGGAAACCTATCTTGCAAGACAAAACCCACCTGTAGTCAATTCCTATAGGAAATAGGTTTCAAAATAA